AGTATTATGTGGACTTTGTGATGGATGCAGTACATTCAGTAGTTAATGAATTCTATAAATCAAACAAGAGTCCAGCGGTCCAAATAGAAATGCTAGCAATTCGTAGGACTTTATATGTATTTATCAACACATATACAGTATTACGGTAAACATTAAAGCCAGTCAATCGTGAAAAGATTGGTGGGAGCTGTAGAAAGAATGGAGAAAAGCAGTCTGCTGTGTTCTGGATTAGAAATAAAGTATGTTTTGTGCTGTAGGCTATATTGACACAGGGCTGCATGGTAAATGGATGCTGAGGAGATCATTACGCGTGGAGCATGTAAAACAGTAATTCGGCAGCAGAGATAGAGAACCAGGGGGAGGTTGAGATTGGACAATGTGGCTATTCTGGATGATAAAATGACAGTCGACACTCCACCAAAGGCCTCTGATGCTTGCCAAACATTCACTGTTGACATTCCAAAGGCCGGAGCCCAACAGAAAAAAGGAAAACATCATAAATCTGGAATTGCACATAAGGGAGCACTGTGAATCATCCTCCTTTTGTGGCGAGGGTCAGCATTCGCTGACTAAAATGGAGATTTCGCATGAGCAAAAGGCCAGACCGCATCAGGAATCATCAACGGCAATGTAAGGGGGCCAAGCACGCGGCCGTGCCCTGATGGGAGTTCACATATTGCTTTTCATCCTGCTTTAAACGTAGTGCCACACACGGCTCTCGCCCCCCCCTCCCCTCCACCGACGCCGCTCCACATGTCAATCATCCACACGGCGGTGAACAAAAAGGCTCTGCCAGCCCTGCCTGTCACCCTGTCACTCATATTCAACAGCCAAAAAAATAAATAGGTAGAAGGAGGGGCAGGCGGGACACTGTTACACAGGTGACGCATTGAGGGTGGGGGGAGGGTTTCTTCTTGTCTTTTCATATTCATTTTCTCATCCGTCTCGCGGCAAGGGCTTTCTCCGTAATCTTCCCGAGGTGAGAATCACGTTTTAATTAGGTCTACCTCTGCTTAACGCTTCCTTTTCCCCAGTCTCCTTTGGCCTACGTGCTCAGCCGGTGGGGGTTCTGCAGTGCTGTCATCCTCGCTTGCTTGCAGATCAAAACTCTGTCAAAATCAAAGATCCTAGCGCCCGACTCTTTCCCTTTTTCTTCCTTTCTGTAACGTGCTGCTGGAACCACCGGCTCGTCCCGCCAGAGGCGGCTGCGCCAAAGCCGTGTCACAAAAGTGCTCTTGCTTTTTTAAGGGCCTTGTGTTCCTGGGCCCGTTCGCCAAGTTGGACAAAGAAGACAACAAAAAACATGCACATTATATCACACGGAGCTCAGAAACCTTGTGTGGATTTGTTTCGCTTTTGGCACCCCCATCCCATTAGGAACCGTGTAACCGCGATGTGCTTGAATCACTGCAAGATGGCAGCAGATGCCACGTTCTACAAATCACACGCTTACGCCTTAAACTCTAGGTTTATCATTCAGTTATTAATCTTAAAGAAATTGTTTGTCAAAAAATGTACTTGACACAATTTTCCATTTATCCCAGATGTAGTTGATCATTCAAAATGAGTAAGGTGCAATTTTTTCTTATTTCATTTAGAGCTGGAGCTGCAAGGCAACACTAACAAGCACTAGAAGTTTTATGTAAATACATCATCAAAACATGTCATCTCACTTCAACCACATCCAGGTCTTCATTAAGGTCATGCACACTTACCAACATGGCTTAGGGACACAGTATGACTTACTGTGACAATTGTAGGCAAGTGTTGCGCCGAATTCTGACTCCTATTCACGTCATGCAGGAATGTGGATGCTAGATTACATTTCTGTTGCTTTTAGTTAAAAAATAACTTTTTAACTGAACATACAGGAACAGAAACTGAGAACATTATCTAGCATCCATACGTCTGCACAATGTGTGAGCACATGGAGATGAGCCGGATTCTGTGGGGGAGTCAGAATTTAGCACAACACCTGTTGTCTGAAGTGGCTGCCTGCTGCGTTTAGCTACATGGTGAAGTTTTGTTTATTTTTATAGTTCATAATAAGTCATTTTGTGTCCTAAATCAGACACTCAAACTTCCACTACAGGGTCCACCTATTCATCACTAGAAAGCGAATATATATATATATGTCCATTTTTGGCATTTTGTCAGGTTTTGACATAATTTGAAAATGCCTGTTGGCCTTTACATTGTGTGCAAATTTTCAAGATGAATGGACCAAAAGAAATGGCCCAAAATTACTTGGATAAACGTCTGGTTCCATTGACTTACATTAAAAGCAAAGTATGTTTTTTCCCTCTCCTGTAAAGTTAGGAGATTTCCATTTCCATCTCATTTTGGAGATACTTCTTTTTCTTTGGACAGCGATGATAAGAACTCCATTAATGATGATTATTACTTTCTATATTAATGCCTCTTGTTCGAACACAATTCTTGTAATCCACATAGCTCCTAAACTCTGTAAAAATATTAGGAATGCAAGCTTTATAAGTGTTTTTAAACCCAGATAAAAAAATGTATTTGTTTACGCTGTCATACGCCTGGAGCACTGTGGCTCATTTCCGCCTGTGATCTATACTTGTGCTGTTATTTCTCATTTCCACTGCCGTGCTCTTAACCTTCCAGGGTTTCACTTCTCTTCATGGATATTCCTGGATTCACTTTGAGATTTTGTAACTAAAATGAAAAGACCTTTATCAATAAACACTCATCATTATTATTAATCCAGCATTTTGTGAGGAATTGAAGTTTAAGCCACCAACGGATCCTAATAATTTAAGGGGTTAAGAAGTGACGTGGAAGGGCCGTGTTTTTGCAGATAAAACACCGAAGACGGCGCTTGCTCATTCGGCCCAGAAAGACGTCGGAGAAGTAATTAAGCTCGGCTGCGCTAATGGAAGAAAAAGGCGAAGGCGCTGCGAAAACGCGTGAGGAAAAGCTAAATGGTATTATGAAAAGACGAGCAGCCGTAATGGAGATTAAATTGTACAGAAGAGAATTAAAGAAGAGTGCATTTAGAGCGTGGAAGCAGCTGTCAGGATGCTTCTCCGACGAGAAGGACTGCGCAAATACACTTCTGTTAGCATTGTTAAAACTCGGGAGGCGCTCGCGGAGGATCGGCAGCGTAGAGGCTCCAGCAGCCGCTCATTAAAGCCAGTTTATGGCTGTGGAATTAAAGTAAAGCAACGAAAAAAAAAGGCAAACATGCGTTAGGTAGGTTGAGTAGGCAGTTGGCCTGCGAACAGTGAGCGTTCGTGGGCAGCGCAGTGTCGTCTGAACAGGCAAACTGCGGAGTTATCTGGAGTCCAAGGGCTCCATTAGTTGGGGGGGTTTTAATTAGCGCCCCTGTGAGAGGAGGCCATTAAGAGTGATTTGGAGTTGTGATGGAGGGCCTGCTGACGGGGAGGACACGGCTACTGCTGACTGCGCTCCTGACACAATGCACGTATATTCGCCTACTGCACAATAAACAAACAAAGAAAGAAATAAATAACAAGGCGAACGCTGGAGAGGGAAAAAAAGAGAAGGTGCTCGCAAAAAAACTGAGCTTTACTTCAAAAGGCCAAGCAGAGGCACAGCTCTACCCTGCAGCTCAGGGCTAACTGACCTGGCCGTGCTCTGGACACAGATGTGTTCTTCCGTAGCTGCTGTTGTGAGGTTTAAAGAACGCTGGCAGAAGTTCAAACTAATGAGAACTTACAGTGCACAAGTCTTTTATTCCCGTCAAATCGAGTTTTGCTGGGGATGAACGTCTGACTGACAGGCCAAGCAGAGAGTCTTCGGCTGACCGCTGGTTCCTATCACCACATCTGAACAGTCGTGTGCAAAAGTTTTGGCACCCCTAGTCAAATTAACGTTTTGTTGAAATGAAAATAAGCCCTCGACAAAAAAGACACCTCTGTGTTCATGCACTGTTTATTTGCTGAATTTAACACACTGGGATAAAAAAGTATAAAATGGGACCTATGCCAAAGTTACGGTCATATTTATGCTTCATTTTTTGTCCAATATGTTGAACTCAGCAATTAAACAGAAACTGATCAATACAATTTTTAAGTTTGTTCTCTGTAGAGGATGTGTTAACATATTTAGCATCAACAAAACGTAATTTGGCTCATTTTTCCACATATGTGTTCACTGTAAACAAATCTGAGTCTCTACAATGAGCTATTTCACATCAAACCACTCTGAATTACTGTTTACATCTCAATGAGTTATAGAGAAATTTTGAAAGTTAGCTAAGTTACGGTTTACATTAGAGCGTAATATACAGATACACATTTTTCATAGTTTTATGGTTTGTGAAAGCCCGTCTCTTAGGGTTGAATAATCTGGAGAAAAATATCTCATTGCAATTTTCTGACCAATATTGTAACTGTGATTTAAATTGCATTTTTTTTTCTTTACATTAAAGTCCAGTCCTGTTATCTTGGTCAAGAAGACCAGCATACCCAATTTTTTATGGCTTGTGGCTTCAACACTGCAAGTTAGTTGTGGCATGGTTGTTTGGTTGCTTTTGATTGGTCTAACTCATCTACAGGCAGTTCACAAACTCCATGGTAGTAGGTTAAATTTCCACCTTTAAACATAAGAAAACATTGATGATAATAAAAGGCTATAAGAAAAATTGCTCTTGCTGTGAAATTGCAAGGCAAGATAAGGCGAGGGAATTTATCTAGCACACATTATACAGAAAAGCAAATAAAAGCAAAAGAGAACGCTGAAGAACACTTTCACAATATAAAGAACACTTTAAACATGCAAAGAGTGTTCATGGTTCCATTTAGAACCATTTCCTTTACTAAAGAACCCTTGAAGAACCATCTTTTTTAAGACTGTAGGCTTTGTGAGCTTGACTAGGAACAAAATCTACAGCTAATCTATTTGAAATGTACATATTTGGACAAATACAGAAGTTGTGCACTACAATTCCTCCCTTCTGTGAAGCCTGTCCACCTCGCAACCACAGCTACCAAGCAACCCTCGACTCTCACCGTTTTCCGGGTGTTCCATCTCTCCGATGCTGCCGTCTGGCGTGGTCCGCTCGTAGTGGTCCTCGGGCAGGGCCAGCGGTCCGATGCGAGGGCCTGACGAGCTCTTGCTGCTGGGGGTCTCGGACTCCTCCAGGCCGCTGTCGTAATAGCTCTGCTGGGACGAGTCCTGCAGGTCCTGCACGGGATTGGTGGTGGAGAACGTCACTCTGCGATGCGGCAGCTGCGGAGGAAAAAGAAAAGCAGGGCGTCCGGTCAAAACAATCTAATTATAACTTTGGGGGGCCCCTAACTAGGCTAATTGACCACCAAATTTGTAATATCACACTTCGGGAGACACAGGCTCTTTTCAATATGCAATTTTCCGAGGGGCAATTAATGAGGAAACGTTTCCCTCCCGCTCTTAGGGAAGGCTACTCCCGACGCAGTGCTAAAGCGGGACGCTCGCTGCCTCTTGATAGTGTGAAAAATCCATAATTAAATTCTCTGATATTACTGTGAAGATGACCTCCCATCTCTCCGAGCACTAGTATACACACACACACACAGGGCAATAAAGAAACAGAGCCGGCGTTCTCGCTCTCACAGTCGCACTCGCTTAGATGCAGAGCTCATAAAACAGTGGAAATCACTGATCCCGCAGAAAAGCCTATTCCCAATTCCAAGTTAGTCCCCGTCTTGCTGAGGACAGGTGGGGGGGATCGATAGCGCAGAAGCAGCGCACACATACACACTGTCCCGACTCCGACTTCATGGCAAACAGAGTCATTTCAGAGCAGGAATTAGAGCCATTAAGAAGGCCATTCCAGCACATATAAAAGGCCCATTAACAGAGTCATTTAAAACATATAGGGGCGCCATTACCAGCCCGCTGTTTATCAAGCCCTCACTCAAATCTGTTATTCTTCTTTCTTCCTATTCGCGCACCCCGGATTCCATCAGTGCAGACTTTTATCTGCTTCTTCACCCCCCTCTCCCCCGTCACCTCTGAATGCTTATTTATTTATCTATTCATTTATTTATCTGTTTGTCTGCGCAGTCACTTCTGTTCCCTCCTCCGTTCCCTTGATTTCCTCCCTAAAGTGTTCATATTAATAGTGCTGGGAAGTAGTGCAGTAAAGTAGGCCTATGAATAAGAAAGCCCCCCACACAAGTTTGTTTGTATATATTAACAATATGGGGGGTCGTACGTATAATACAGCGCAGCGGGGCGGTTAACAACTGTGTAAGACCCGGTAGACCACCAACACTGTCCAGATCTGAAAACATCCACAGCCATCCTTCCACTGTGAGAAGACGACTCAGCGCTGTGGGTCTGAAAGGATGTGTAGCTGTTCAAGAAGAACCTCACTGAGAAAAGGAGACGGACACATCAAACAAAGAAGCTGAACAATGGACTGACCACCCCAGAGTCCAGACCTCAACACCACTGAATGTGTTTGATTACTTTAGGAAATGATCAACCAGCTTCTGAGACAACTTTGGAGGTGTGTCTGCAGATTTCTTCGAAAAACTGCAGCACCTATAAATGTACGTACCTATATGTGATAAGTCATATATTTATTACATATGTGTATGTTAATAACAACAAATAATAACAATAATCTTTATTTATGTAGCACCTTTCATACATTAAAAAAAGTTTAAAAAAAACAGAAAGAAGAGAAAAAAGATAATTAAAAAAAGAATAAATAAAAAATAAAAATAAAAAAATGCAACAAATAAATGCAATAATAGAAAAAAAGGGGATACAATAATTATATTTAAAATTAAAATATAAAAATAAAAAAAATACATAAAAGTATAAATATAAAACTGATAAAAATGCAACTATCAAGAAAGTAAACGTTATACCGCCCCCGCAAATAAATAAATAAATAAATAAATAAATAAATGCTACAACAAAGAAATATGTATCTCCTATGTAAGGTACATATAGACCATATCATCCAAAAATGAATAGATTGTCTGGAGGTTACAGCTCAGGTTTTCCCACAACTATAGGCAATTTTGTCCTAACAAACGAACAAACAAATAAACAAACAAATAAACATACACACGCAGCACACTGTTTATCTGCAGTCTGTTCTCACTTATGCACTTATCAGTCATCAGCTTGCTCGCTGTGTGCTCACATTCATATGGTTCTAGCAGTACTGGAACCCACTGGGGAGCATTTCCATGCACAGTAATTATATCAGCTTCCTCAGAAAACTCAAATATGGCATTGTGGCACCAACAGCTTCGCTGTCTGTCAAGCCCCATGCATCAAGAAAGAGCGAGGCAGATCGCAAGGGCGAGACAGAGAAGGGAGAGGAAGGGAGGGGCTCTTTTTGTCTTGGGGCCAAACCTTTTAATGTATTCTTTCCTTTAAATTTCTTATTAATTTGAGCTTTTGATGTACGAGGCAACACATGGCTGCCATTCTTCTGCTTGAATATGGATGCAGATATTAACGTAATTGTTTTATCTAGTGCAAAATGTACTTATCACGCTTTGCAGAGAATGCAAATGGCATTGCTTGATCTACTGTAAAAAGGAATGCGTTTGGTATGCTTGGCGTAGAATGCAAATTGCGCCGTTTGATCTACCGAAAGAGACTAAACGTTTGTGATGTATATGTGCATGGAAACAATCTTATTTGGGCGTGTATATTAGCACAGCTATGATTTTTCAATCAAGGACATTATCACCGTCCCTGGCCCGATCTGGGCGTAATGGTAGTCTCGGAAAGAGAGAGTGGCTGAGATTGTGATTAAAGGTCTCCCAGGCAGACACATTAGTATTTAAATGTACGGGAGGGCGTTTAGTTGTTTAAATATGGATCCTCTGCTTAAACAGCTCCTCCAGGCATCGCTCCAGAGTCAGCGCTTCCTCTCCCTGAGCTCAGAGAAACCGCCGCGCCCGACACGTGGAACACACTTCCTGAACAAGGCTGATTTACACTTCAGCTAAGATGTAAGTTAACATATTGGCGTACAACTACAAAGAAGGAGTTTTGTGGGTAATCGTAGCTGGAAGAAGCTTGCAGTGGAGCTGACATGCAAAAATCAACAACACAAACGTTGAAAATCTTATAATTCCATAATTTCAACTACATGCTCAAAATCTTAATTACCCTGCCAGAATCCTAAGTACACCTGCAACATCTTCACTACACCTCTAAATCCTTAACTATACCCCCAAAATCTTAACTACACCTTCAAAATCTTCACTACAGCCCCAAGATCTCAACTACATCTCCAAAACCTCAGCAGCACAAACCCCTAAAATCTTAACTACACCTTCACAATCTGAGCTAAACCTCCAAAATCTTAACTGGACAGCCAAAATCTCAACTACATCCCAAAATATTAACTAGACACCCAAAATCTTGACTACATCCACAAAATCTTAACTTCACACCAACAATCTCAACTAAACCTCTGAATCTCAATAACACAAATTTCTAAAACATTGACTACACCTCTTAAAACCTAGTTACACCCTTAAATCCTAGTTACATCCTACTCTGCAAATTCTTACCTACTTCTCCAAAATATCAACGATGCCTCCAAAATCTTTACTGCACACCCACCATCTCAACTAATCTTCCAAACCTCAAAAACACAAATCTCCAAAATATTAACTACATTTCCAAAATCCTAATTAAACTCCTCAAATCTCAACTATATCTAAAATGTCAACTATGCCTTCAAAATCTGAACTACACTTCCAAAATATCAATAATACAAAGCTTCAAAATCTTAACTGTACTTTCAAAATCTTAAGTACACATTCAAAATCTGAATTACACCTCCAACATTTTAATTACTCCTAAAATCTCAACTACACCTCCAAAATCTCAACTAAACACCTAAAATTTTAACTACATCCTCAAAATATTAACTGCACTGCCAAAATCTTAACTAGACCTCCAAAATTTCAACTACACCCCCAAAATATTAGCTACATACCTAAAATCTACCTAACTACATTCCCATAATATAAAACACACACTCAAATTTTCAACACCTCCAAAATCTTAACTATACATCTTAACTAGACCCTGAAAATCTTGGCTGTCCTACATGTTTCATGTCACTATCGAAACATTAATGGTCATGGTCCATCAGAGTGGAATTTCAAAAACTGTCACTTGTGAAACACATATCTTCTGCAATTAAGTTAACTTTTTTGTGTTTAATGAAACAATATTCTGATTTCTGAACTGTTTAACTGTGCAGCTGTGTTTGCTCATCATGTACAGGCTGGTCTTTTTGAGCTCTACTCAAAATTGGCTGAAACTGTCACTACCGAAACAGTCACTATTGAAAAATCTGATAAAATTTAGGTCGTAATATGATTGCTTTGGTAGTGACAAAATGGAATGTTCTATCATTTTATAAAATAAACAGAATTAAGTTACAGGATCACTCAACGCAAAAGGATTTTAGTCTGAAGTTCAAGTCAGTTGAAAAGTCCCAAATGTGTTTTGAGCCAGTTTAGTAGAATGATCCTTATATAATATATTGTCGCTGTCGCGACCTCCAAAATGGTAACTATACAGGAAAATGTTTATTAAATTTGAATGGAAGTCAATGGCACACGAGTTTTTTTTTCCCAAGTAATTCTGGAATGCTTGTTTTGGTTCATTCATTGCATAATTTAAATGGAGACAAGGTTTTGTACTGACATCGATGATATATGATATATACATTCCTTGGTTGGAACATGCAACCACTGTTGCTCTCACTTTACATTGATGATGAAAACTGGAAACAGCGTTCACCCTGAATAAGACAAAAACTATTAATGTGACTAATCATGATTATTTTGATCATTTGACAGCCCTTATTTTTAAATTTCATGTACAGTTACACAAAGATATCATGATGTTAGCTCTTTGACATATCGTCCAACCTGACCACACAAGATTCAAAGACGTGAAAGCACAAATTCAGCCCTCGGCTTCCTCTACTGGAGTCTTCAGATAGGCATATCGGGGGAGCTGAGAGAACTGCAATGGGCCAAAGAGGCTAAAAGCTGGCTGGGAGGGTGGAGGATCCAAAGTAAGTAGGGTTGGACGAAGCAGGCCAGGAGAAGGAGGAGGAGGGAGCTTGGTTTTGGCCGGGCGGAAGGAGCTTGGCGCCGGATTGGAGAGGGGGGTTTTGGAGCTGGATGGGAGAAGGCTAACTGGAGTTGGACGGCAGGGATAGTGGGGAAGCATGGAGCTGGAGGCAG